CGTAGGAATATATCATAAGAACTCAGCTGGTTATGGCAAAGTCACTACCTGGAGGGATCAGGGAATTCCTCCAGAGGAAGCCAAATCCCAAGGAGTTTTTGGTGTTACTTGGCTTGTTATATATCAGCTGTATTCCATTATGAAAATCATGTGTGCCTTCATAGCTTTCCCAATTGACTTTTCCCTAAGAAGGGCTAACAGTGTGGACTGATCACTCTCTGGACATACACATTCCAGGTATTTGGAGAACAGCCTCAGGAAAGGCTTTCTCTGGAATCAGATATCTCCCTTGGCCACTTTCAAGGACTAGCAGTAATAACAGTCCACATGCAAGTCTCCTGATTTAAGACAATTCCACAAGGAGACACTGCCTAGGTCAGGTGGATGTTCAGTAATAGCTTTACACAATTTAGCTCAGACCCCCCCTTTATTACAGCCTTACTAACTTTACAGACCTCTAACTCCTTATCTAACCACTTCTAGGAATATTCAGATAACCTTCTGCGCTGACAGCTATGCTCAGCCTGAACCCCAGTTCAAGCCTCCCTATAATTATCATCATTGGCAGCATCTGGCCAGGTCCATCCCCAGATGGAGGAAAGTACCTTATCAAAGATACTTCTGTATGCTCTAAGAACAGACTTAAGCATACGGGCTACCTGTTTGAGAAGGCCTGGTGGATGTACCAATTAAGCTTTACTTCCTCCTTTCCCAAACCTTACCTCTAGTTCCAGATCTCCCTTTAACTATCACCAGAGGCATCGAGCTGTACAGGTTGCCTAGCAACCGAGCACTTTCCCCCACCCTGCGGAAAAATGGCAGATGGCTTGGACAGATATGAGCCACAGGAAAAAAGAAGACAGTTTTATTTTCTCCCATTGACATAGCAACTTATAGATTCTTAACATTTTCTACCAATCACGTTTAAGATTATAGTTAAGCACATAAGAGCCCTCTTCTTAGATATTACCTGAATCTAGCCTTTAGTTAATTCATTTCCCCATTGGTCACTTCCCTTTGGGGTTGCAAATGATAATTAACGGTTATTGCCTCCCTATGTGATTCTTATCACCCCTCCGTTTGACCCTGGAAGCCTGGCTTTGCACTGCTAAGGGAATACTGCTTGTAAGTGTATATATACCAGGACTTCCAGGGCACGAGGAGGACAGAGAAAAGAGAATGGAAGAATAAGACGGGTAAGAACTTGAGAGGAACAAATTGAGATGGGGAAGAAGTAGATTGAAGGGCTAGAAGGGAGTACTAGAGGAACGAGATGGAAGATGAAGAAGAGCCAGATGGGAAAGAACAAGATGAGGAAAAACAAGATGAGGAGAGAGAAGAAGATGGGAGAGGAGATGATATGGGAAAGAACAAGATGGATGAGAACCTAGAAGGGGCAGAACTAGATGAAGGAATTAAGATAGAACCCAGAGGGGACCGCAGACAAGTGTAGAGAGAAATCAGGCTAGAAATGAGCTAAATATGAGAGCAGAATATAAGCTTGTAAGTGACACAGAATAATAAAGCATATGGACTAAGGAATTTCGTGTACATAGATTCATTTCTTCTCATCAAAGATTAATTATCAGCTGGCTGTAGATTCTTCCTGGACCCTGGGAGGGGACTATCGAGGGGCTGGACCCCCATAGTCCCCGATAACTATTCATTTACAATGATTAAGATTTGGGGTAGGAAAGGTCAGACAGGAGAGATGAGCAGGTTGGAGATGAGCTAACCAAAACTAAGGATGTATGGGGAACCCAATACTTTGTAAACTAATTTAAAAACATAATTTGAGCCAGGTGGCAGTGGTGCCCACCTTTATTAATCCCAGCACTCAGGAGGCAGAGCCAGGTGAATCTCTGTGACTGTGAGGCCAGCCTGGTCTATAGAGCGAGATCCAGGACAGGCACCAAAACTACACAAAGAAACCCTGTCTCGAAAAACCAAAAAAACAAAAAACAAAAACAAAAACAAAAACCATAATTTGAACACAGCAACCCTATATGGGTGGGCATGCTTCCTCCAGAAGAGGTAAGTTATTAAGTGCAAGTCTCAGTGCTAGGCATTGGTTAGGGAGGCCCCAGAGGCCCTCCAGCAGAGGCTACTTCTACTTCTCTTGGTTGCTTACTAGTACTAGATGTAAGATCCTATTGCTGAAGGCACAGCACACTTTGGGCGAAGGACACAGAGAAATCCAGCTGAAACTGACCTGAGAACTTGCTCCCTGCAGCCTGTCCCTTCAGCGCCAGAAGGCACTATGCATGCAACTGAAGAGAGGAAGCCATCAACAGATATTACCCAGCAGGAGTCCCTGAATGCTACTATACTGACAGCCAGGCAAAATGTGCCCCCTGACTAGTACAACCCCAGGATGAGGGTAATGGTATAACCAACCACTTTCTGATTGGCTGTTGAGACCTGCTCTACAGGAAGGAATCTGAGCCTGGTACAGTGAACATGGTCAAAAGCCCATGGCTCAGGGGGTCTAGGCCCTGTGGTAGTTTTAATGAGAATGGTCCCCACGGGCTCATGTATTTGGATATTCTGTGCCCAGTTGGTGAAACTGTTTAGAAAGGATTAGGAGGTGTGGCCTTGTTGAAAGAGGTCTGTCACTAGGGGCAGGCTTAAAGGTTTCAAAAGATGTGCACCATTCCCAATGTCTGCCTGCCTTGTGGTTGTATCTCAGGATGAGCTCTCGGTCTCTGCTACAGCACCATGCCTGCTGCCATGCTCTTGGGCTCTAACCCTCTCAAGTTATACACGCCTGTTGTGGAATATTATGTTAAGATGTGTATACACGCCTGTTGTGGAATATTATGTTAAGGTGTGTATACACGCCTGTTGTGGAATATTATTTTAAGGTGTGTATACACGCCTGTTGTGGAATATTATGTTAAGGTGTGTATACACGCCTGTTGTGGAATGTTATGTTAAGGTGTGTATACATGCCTGTTGTGGAATATTATGTTAAGGTGTGTATACACGCCTGTTGTGGAATATTATTTTAAGATGTGTTGCAGTCTTTTTTGTTGCATCTGTTTAACTCTGTGAGGCTGTGTTACTGTGTCTGTCCAAAACACCTGATGGTCTCATAAAGAGCTGAACAGCCCATAGCTTGGCAGGGGAAAGGATAGGAGGGGCTGGCAAGCAGAGAGAATAAATAGAAGGGGAAGCAAAAGAAAATTAAGGAGCAAGAGAACAAGAAAAGGAGGACGCTAAGGGCCAGCTACTCAGCCACACAGCCAGCCGTGAAGTAAGAGTGAAAGTAAGATATACAGAAGTAAGAAGAGGAAAAAGCCCAGAGGCAAAAGGTAGATAATTTAAGTTAAGAAAAGCTGGCTAGAAACAAGCCAAGCTGAGGTCGGGCATTTATAAGTAAGAATAAGACTCTGGTGTGATTATTTGGGAGCTGGGTGGCAGGACCCCAAAAGAACAAAAAGCAAACAACAACCAATTACTTGCTCCAGATAAACTCTTTCTGCTATAAGTTGCCTTGGTCGTGGTGTGTTATCACAGCAACAGGAAACACACTAAGGCAGGCCCTCCAGGATCGCCCACTACTGTTGTTTTACTAAATGGATGTGTTGTCAACCTGCCCTCCAAATAGTTACACATGTACCAACAGATCAGCTCTGCTCTCAACCTTGGCCAGGCAAACTCTGTCCTCAGTAGCTGCAGGGAACATCTCAGAACTGGTCAGGGTGCTGAGGAGAAGCGACTGCTGGGTGCCCTGCTTAGGTGAGACATCTGTATCGAGCCTCTGACCCTCAAGGTTCAGGGAACAAGGCAGAAGGAGAGAATGTAAAAGACAGGATGGAAGGAGTGTTGGAAACTGTCTTCCACACACGACATGACCATCACGCTCACGAGTTCAGCACAGCATGGCGACCTACACAGGACTGAGCTGACAGGATCAGTCAGCATTCTGGGGGCCGCCCTAACGGGACGGAGTTGGGGGGAGGGAGGAGGCGGGGAAGATGGACACAGACAAGATCAAGACACATCGTATACATGTATAAAGTTGTCAAAGAATTAGTAAAAAGGTATTTTAAAAGTTAAGATGGTAAAGACGGAGAGTTTTGTGTTTATATGCAAATGTATTTTGAAAAACATGACAAATTAGTTCCAATGCTACCTCACATTTAATTGTTGATCAAATTTACCAGGCACATGTGATATTAAAAGTGGAATCCTACAGAAGAAAACTGTTTCCTAAAATAAATAGAAGGCTTCCAATGAGAGCAGAAAGTCTATAAGCCAAGATGTCTTAGAAGACTAAAGGCATGTGATTACAGGTTACTACATAATATAGAAATCATTCTAAGTGAATGCCAAAACATCTATATAATCTATCACTCAATATTCTTCATTATTTTATTTCTTAATTTTTTTTAAAGATTTATTTATTTATTATGTATACAGTGTTCTGCCTGCATGTATGCCTGCAGGAAGAGGGCACCAGATCTCATTACAAATGGTTGTGAACCACCATGTGGTTGCTGGGAACTGAACTCAGGACCTCTGGAAGAACAGCCAGTGCTCTTAACCTCTGAGCCATCTCTCCAGCCCTTAATTTATTTTTTAAATTAACTTATTTCAGTTTTAACAAGATGTCAAATCAAGTTAAAGGTCAAGAGTTCAAGTGTCACCAATCATCTGTGAAAACACAGTATCTTATCAGACAGCCTTGACAGCGTCCATCACCAAAAAAGGAGATAAACGTGAATAATTGGAAACTGTTCCACATCTAACTGCATGAGCACTCTCCCATCAAACAAGTTCTCTGGAAACAACCAACTCTAGCCATCCCTGAAGACCGCCACCCCTTAGAGGCAAGCCTGTGACAATCTAACCATCCTGAAAACACCGCCACCCCTTAGAGGCAAGCCTGTGACAATCTAACCATCCTGAAAACACCGCCACCCCTGTGAGGTAAGCCTGTGACAATCTAACCATCCTGAAAACTCCGCCACCCCTGTGAGGTAAGCCTGATGACAATATAACCATCCTGAAAACTCCGCCACCCCTTTGAGGTAAGCCTGTGACAATCTAACCATCCTGAAAACACCGCCACCCCTTTGAGGTAAGCCTGATGACCGATCTTTTATCCTCTGCGCTCATTTGATGTCTTTAAGATGAGTTCTGTCTAAAAACACTAAGCACCCATTTTTGAGCCACAGCACAGCCAGGAAGACATATCCCCTGGTTGGATTGCTAAGTCTATTTATCAAGGGTCTCCAAGGGAAGCACTGTGTTAGACACTGAAATATCTGAGATGTGCCAGCTCTTCCTTTAACAAAACACATAAAATGAGAAGAAAGAAAAAAAAGGTGGAAAAACAAGGATCAGTAAATACAAACTGCAAATGAGAGATGCCATAGACACCTTATGCTACTAACTCTAAAACTGTAATTATTGATCCCAAAGAAAATATGACATTAAGTGTTAGAAAAGAAAACCATGTACCACAGGCAAGGGCAATGCCTCACTATACGAAGAAGTACCAAAGTAATCTGCGCTGTGTGACTCTGGGTTGATCTCCCCAGTCACTCCCATTCCTGTGTGTGTGTGTGTGTGTGTGTGTGTACACAATGCACGTGTGTGAGTCAAAGGACAACCTGAGTATCATTTCTCGGGCCCTGTCTACTTTGGGGGAGTTGGGGGTATCTTACTGGCCTGGAACTTGCCAAGTAGACTAAGCTGATTGTCTAGAAAGGCCCAGGGATCTACATGTCACTGCTTCCTCAGTACTGGGATTAAAAGCCATCAAGCTTGGATATAAGAATGAGGGAGGGAGTGAGTGAGTGAGTGAGTGAGTGAGTGAGTGAGTGAGTGACTGAGTGACTGAGTGAGTAAATGACTGAGTGAGTGAGAGTGAGTGTGTGAGTGATTGTGTGTGTGTGTTCTGGGGAGCAAGCTCAGCCCTCGTGTATAAGCACCTCACTGACTGAGCTACCTCCTATATTTAAGCACTTCACTGAGCTGTCTTGCTGGGATTCTTCAGGGACGGCAGTGCCTGCTGGAGACAAGGACCTGTACAACAGTCACGCTTAAGAGACGGTCCGCGTGCAAAGAGCTGGGTAAGAAGACAACATTGTTGCAGCCTCCCCAGCCAGACACCAAGGCTGCCATTTTTCTGGTTCTAGCACAGCCACTCATCAGTTAAAACTCTCCTAGTCAGAAAAGGAATACAGATACACAATAAGAACAGATTCAGACAAATAAGACCTCTAAACGGGTCACACTATATTTAAAAGATATACATAGGCTTGGGAGAGAGAAAAGAAAGGATAGATGCAATAAAAGATTTTAAAAATAACAATAAAATCCTTAAAAAAGAAATAAAATAATAAAAAATTATGATGAGCCACATAAAAATGGAAAATACGGATTATATGTATATTATTATGTTTTCTTTGAATTTTTGACTGTTAATGAGCTAACTGCAGGAAGACATTTAATTATGGCAGCTGCCAAGCTAAACCAACATATATATTTTAAAAGTATCTTAACTTCGAAATTTGGGTCTAAGGATATGTTGCTTTGGAAAAGAGGTTCTGCTTTTGTTTCCATAGAAGATGAGAAGCTGTGGATTCCTTCCAGGTCAATATGGGTTGATTGAGCAAGAGCCCCTGAGAGGTCTCTGATGAGAACATTGGCCCAGATGATCCAACATCCACAACAGCTTTAAGGCTACTGGCTGATATGAACCAACCACACAAAATACCCCAGTCAAGACTTGACCGTAATTCTGAATTTTCTCAGGATCCCCATAAGATTACCAGCACACCCAATCAACATGAAAATAATATAGAAAACTATGCCGAAATTCCCAAAATATTGTTTATAAATGTTTATGTTCATTTAAAGGGTGTTGTTTATAAAAGTTTAATGGTCATAATCAATGACAATTAATAAATGGTCATAATCATCTCTTTCTAAAGAAGAAAGGGGGATATGATATATAAATGATGGAGGAAAGGGTAGATTATTATGATAATAAAAGAGGTAGATTATTGAATCTACTTTAATCCAAAAAACAACTATTAATCTCAAAATACTTTACATTGATATAGATTTTTGGTTTATTGATGCAAATTTAAGGTCAATTTTGTTATAATATATATATATTTCTACTTGTTCAAGGTATTATGTTTATGCAGCTCATTTAAAAATATAATGTATAGTTAAAAAATACAAATTAATAATCATCTATAATAGTAAAATTTATAGTCATATTAGTCAGGTTTTCTAGATATGCAGAGATATAGTTAAGATGGATAGATAATCTTCAAACACTTCAAAGACCTACAGAATATGGCATTTAAAATGTTTTAAGAACTTAGACTTTTTTCTACAGTGAGACATGTCTGCTCCTGATAGCACCAATTACCTCAAGAGGATGATGGACATCAAAGAAACTCCTTATGGAGTTTGCTTTCAATGTGGCAAGGCTAGGCATTTGAGCAAGAAACTGCTCTTGCCTGGACTGCTTGACAATATGCTATACAAACTGGACATGCAGGACCCATAGGAAAATGACTGCTGAACTTGCCAAAAAAGATGGGATGGTCCTTCATAGGTCCTGCTTCATGGAAGAGTCTGCCAGACATTCTGCAGGACACATAAAAAAGCAACTGACAAATTTTGCCAAAATAGCTGGGACAGTCCTTCAAATTTCCTGCTTCGCTGAGAAATTTGCCAGACACTTTAGGCCTGTAGGCTAAAGATGGATGACCCAATGTTGCAGAGGAACTTTGGGTGACTGTCCAGGCAGCCAGCTGTCTCTCTCATTTCTAGAATTATGGAAGTTGTTTACAATGCACTTCCTGTTTACTCAGGTAATATTATATCCTTCTGGGGTCTTTGATGGAGCTGAAGACTAGATAGTTATAATTACAATCTTCCTTAGTTATGATAAATTAGATATGAAACTTTAGACTCACCAAGATAGGATAGATGAGAGAATATTTTCTTTAATTTTTGCCAAACACAAATAGACTAAATATTGTAACTATAATTCCTGCTTGATAACTGTTGTTCTTGTTTTTGCTCTTTTTGGGGGGCCGCCACCTAGTTCCCAAGTAAATCACACACTGAGGCTTATTTTTAATTATAAATGCCTGGCCTTAGCTTGGCTTGTTTCTTGCCAGGTTTCCATAACTTAAATGATCCCATCTACATTCTATTTCGGGCTGGAGAGATGGCTCAGAGGTTAAGAGCACCGACTGCTCTTCCAGAGGTCCTGAGTTCAATTCCCAGCAACCACATGGTGGCTCACAACCATCTGTAATGAGATCTGGCGCCCTCTTCTGTATACATAATAAATAAATAAATCATAAATAAATAAATAAATAAATAAATAAATAAGTCTACATTCTACCTCTAAGCTTTTCCCACTCTCTTACTTCTGTAAATCTTACTCTTACTCTGGCTTGCTGTGGAGCTGGGTGGCTGTGTGGCCGGGTGGCTGTGTAGCTGGGTGGCTGGTCCGTAATGTCCTCCTCCTTCTCTGGCTACTTTCTTCTTTTCTCCTCCTTTCTCCCAGATTCTCCTTCTTTATAGATTCTCTGCTTGCCAGCCCCATCTGTCCTTTCTCCTGCCTCACTATTGGCCAGCTCTTCATTAGACTATCAGGTGTTTTATGCAGGCACAGTAGCACAGCTTCACAGAGTTAAACAAATGCAACAGAAACAAAAGTAACACACCTTAGAAAAATCTACTACAGATAACTGTTTTGTTATATGTAATTTTATTATGTTAAAGTTAAAATCTTCCTTTTTGATTAGACAGAGATGGAGAAATGATGTGGGATGTCTTTCTGTAAATTGCAAATATGTGTGGCTACCACTGGTTAATAAATAAAGCTGCATTGGTCAATGACAAGGCAGAATAAGAGCCAGGAGGGAAATCCAAGCAGAGATGCAGGGAGAAGAAGGGAGGAGTCGGGGCAGACGCCATCCAACCACCCAAGGGGCAAGATGCCAGCAGACTGGTAACGGCACAGCCACGTGGCAAAATATAAATTAATACAAATGGGTTAATTTAAATTGTAAGAGCTAGTTAGTAATAAGCCTGAGCAATAGGCTGTAGTGGTATTGTGTTCCCCAAAATATTGTGCACTCTAATAAACTTATCTGGGGTCAGAGACAGAACAGCCACAATATTAAACAGAGGTTAGGCAGTGGTAGCACACACCTCTAATCCTAGCATTCCCGAGGCAGAAATCCATGTGTTCAAGGATACAGCCAAGCATGGTGACTCATGCCTTTAATCCCAGAAAGCGAGCCTTTAATCCCAGGAAGTGATGGCAGAAGGCAGAAAGGTATATAAGGTGTGAAAAACCAGGAACTAGAAGCATTTGGCTGGTTAAGCTTTCAAGCTTCCAGCAGCAGTTCAGCTGAGATCCATTTGGATGAGGACTCAGAGGCTTCCAGTCTGAGGAAACAGGATCAGCTGAGGAACTGACAAGGTGAGGAAGCTGTGGCCTGTTCTGTTTCTCTGATCTTCCAGCATTCACCCCAATAACTGGGCTCAGGTTTGATTTTATTAATAAGGCCATTTAAGATTCATGCTACAATAGGCCAACTATTTATAAATAATATCAAGCCTCTGAGTGATTATTGTATAAGCAGCTATGAAACCAGGTGGGAAGCAGAAAAGCCTCCACTTACAGACAACTAGCATTTAGTGTCCACAGAACGTAGGACAGAAGCTACCACGTACAAGGGGGTTTGCAGAGATCCCAGGTGGTGGAAGTTGTGCTCATGGGAACCGCCTCAGAGGCAGATTCCTCATCACCCGTGTGCCAACTCTGACACCCAAAGTGTCTTGCAAGGGTCTCTCTGAATAGGAAAGGAATGTACCACACACACAGAAACTGCGTCTTTCCCCTCTTGACCTTGCTCTGTCCCTGAGGATGAAGGGTGGATTCTAATCAAAGGCCAAAGCTCCTGGCTGCCAGCTGGGTCCTGAAAAGGGAGCACAAAGGGCGGTGAGCAGGAGCTGTCTGAGGTGAGGGCTCATTTATTCCTTGGATCCTCCCTGCAAGAGAGCCTAGTCCACTCCTGACACACAGCTGACTCACAGGGCTCTCTCCTTCCGGGTGCTATTACCTCCTGCCTGCATCTCTGAGGGTTACTGAGCAACTGTCCTAGGGTCCTGCCACACAGGCATCTGCTGCTTCTTGTCTACCAAAGCAGTGACCACCAAGCGTGGATACCTACTACTTTCTATAGCCTGATCTGCTTCATGGAAGTCACAAAACATGGAAATTACTCACTAGGGATTCCTTCCTATGCCACTTTTTGTAATGAGATTCACCCATTTGGGGAGCTGCCCTTCCAGGTTCATCAGTCAACATGATGGACACCTACTGTTTGCACACACCTGATGTCCAGTCTACAGCTGGTGAACCTGGGCTGTTTTTACTTTGGGGCTGCCATATACAGTACTGCTATGGATGTTCTGCTTACCTCCTGGGGTACATAAACATACAATCTCACTGGCTAGGTATCAAGGAGTCGCCCGAGCCATGGCATCTGTACATCTCAATTTTGGTACTTAATATCAAAGGGTCTTCCATGTTTAAACTCCTGCCAGCAACATACACATGTAAGCCTTCCTGTCTGTATTTTGGTGGGTGGGTAATGTTATTTTTCAGGTTTAGCTTTCATTTTCATGATCACAAATGAAGTTAGCAGGTGTGTGTTTGCTTATGATGTGGACATACTAGTTTGTTGGGGGTTCTGTTGTTGTTTGTTTTGAGTGCCTGTTCATCTTGGCCACTAGATGGCAGAGTTCTTCCTAGACGCGGATCTACTGACTGAGGGAATCCAGCTATGGAGTCTTCTGTGGAGAAGTGAGAACAAGAAAGAAAGGCCTATCTGTTCCCTCAGGAATTGCTATTTCCGAGAACGAACTGTAACAATGCTAAGATAAGTAGACAACCACAATGCACAATGTGGAACAGAGCAAACAGCCTGAAAAACAGACGCAAACAACCCCTGGGCCATGCCATCAACTCCAACCACACAGTCTTCAACACACTTTGGGGACAGACAGCAGGAAACTGAGGAAGACAATGGGTATGAAGCAACACCTGACGGTGAGACATTTCCACTGCCCTTCTCAATGATGTAAGTAATGGCAGAAAAAAAAAATCAAGTAATTAAAAAATGTTCAGATGTACTTTTAGTATGCAGAAGCCTGTAGACTAAAATCCTCCATTTCCCACATACTAAGAAACAGACCTCTTTTTTTTATTTTTTATTTTTTTTTATTTATTTATTTATTTATTTATTTATTTTTCTGGAGACAGGGTTTCTCTGTGTAGCTTTGCACCTTTCCTGGAACTCACTTGGTAGCCCAGGCTGGCCTTAAACTCACAGAGATCCACCTGGCTCTGCCTTCCGAGTGCTGGGATTAAAGGCGTGCGCCACCACCACCCGGAAACCTGGAAACCAAGTTCTTATTTCTTTATCATTCAGTGTTGGTCACAAGGCCCAAGATAAACTTCTAAACACAAAGGGTTTATCGTGGCTCAGTTTCAGAGGCTTTGGTCTGAGACTGTCCCCACTGCCCTGAGCCTGTTGAAAGGAATCACATCACAGCAAGGAATACCCAGCAGAGCAAACCATTATGTCATGGCTGCATCTCAGATCCACGCTGAGGACATGCCCCCAAGAACCTCCCCCTTAAAGCACAGCTCTTAAAGGTCTCTACCACCTTCTGGGATTAAATTCCAGGCTGACGGCTAAGGTTTTGGACTTCTGGGAGACACTGAGGATCCAGTCACAGCACTGGCCCACCCTAGGTCTTTTCTTCTGAATGGTGACTCCCAGTACCACATGTGGCATCCCCACACCCTCATTTCTCTGTGTGTCTCCTTTAACTGAAATCTCAAGTGCATCACAATAGCCCTGGGGTTCTCCATTGGATCTTTGTTCTGGGGAGAACGCCTCTGTGAGCTCTTGCCTGGGGTCCTACAAGGCTTCAGTAGCTACAGGACTGGTGAACTGCCCAGGAGGAGTCCCTCGCTGAGAGTTTCTTAGTGACAGCTTAGGATTTGATGCTTAGTTAGCTAAACTTATCTGTCATATTGATTGTCATATCTGGGTTCAAGTCACTTCTTATGAGGTAAGTAACTATCTTATTATATATTCCTAAAATTTTTAAGCTGCTCAAAAGAGACAGAATTGGGGAAGAATAAATTCACAAGACAATTTAGGAAATTAAAGTTTCTCTTCATTCTAAAGTGGCTGTAAGAGTATGTCTATAAATCGTTGAGATTAAAAAATACATTTAGATAATCTCTCGGACTTGATTCAGAAATCCCTACTATTCAAAACCACCCGACCTTCAGCCCGAGCCCAGCCTTCTGAAGCAGCAATCAGTTGAGACATGAGTCTGAGGGAGTGAAGGCAGAGACACGGACTCCCTCGTCAAGTCAGAGGGCTGGGCCTCGGGCTCAGGCTCCTCCACCAGCGCAGAACCGACATCCTCACTCTCCTCCTTGGGGACCGGCTGCCTGCCAATCACTAGGGGCTTGCTGTCCACTGTCCCTTGCCAGGCCAGGCCAGGTGAACAGTATTACAGCAGTCCGCTAGCCACAGCGGTGGTAGAGGACAATCAGGATAAACAGCTCTTGACACCCGCTATGGCTGTGAACCATTTAAGACCATGAAACATTACTGTGTCCATGGCACAAGCAAGGCTTTAACAAAGGAACTCTTACATGGAGACAGGCGGCATACATCTAGTAACACCCTTTCGACTTTCAGTGGCGTCTTAACTGAATCATATTTATTAAAAAAACAAACAAAAAAAACAACTGAGTTCTCATACTAAAATAAAAATTCACCCACACAGTCTTTAATGTTCAAACAAAAACCCAAAGTGAGGCCAAAACATTTCATGAACTGAAGGGAACCCACAGTCCCTGGGAATATAAGAAATCCCTCTTTGGTAAGAATCAAGTTGATCAGTTCCTCTCACATTCCAATATACAGTCAGGAAATCAAAACTGCAGGAACAGTCCCGAAGTTCTGGTGTGAGAGTAGAATTTCCTGCAGGCAAAGACCCATGGTCCACTGTCTACTGCCACAGTCTGGGCAACTTCTTTAGCTCTGTAACTCTTCCGAACCTGCAATCATGATGAAGAGCTCAGGGCAGCAGGAGGGCCGAGAAAAAGCCGAGAAAAAGCCGAGAAATGGCAGAGGGTGAATGGCAGCTGGACAAGGTAGCCAAGGAGAGGGTCCACAGGTGGACCTGCTGAGCCTTTGGGAAGTTCCTAATCTGCCTGGGTGCCTTGCACTAAGAAATGGAAGTCTCAATTAAGAATGCTACATACAGGCTGGAGAGATCGCTCAGAGGTTATGAGCACTGGCTGGGGATCCTGAGTTCAATTCCCAGTAACCACATGGTGTCTCACAACCATCTATAATGAGATCTGGTGCCCTCTTCTGATGTGTGTATTCATAATAAATAAAGAAATCTTTAAAAAAAAAAAAATGCGGGGCTGGAGAGATGGCTCAGAGGTTAAGAGCACAGACTGTTCTTCCAGAGGTCCTGAGTTCAATTCCCAGCAACCACATGGTGGCTCACAACCATCTGTAATGAGATCTGGTGCCCTCTTCTGGCCTGTAGGGACACATGCAGGTAGAACATTGTATGCATAATAGATAAATAAATCTTAAAAAAAAAAAAAAAAAAAATGCTACATACGGGAAAAGGCTCGTGTCTTAACAAGACATACACAAACCAGCACTTCCTGTCAGAAACCTTGTCGGACTCTGTGATACAGGAAAGGATGCACTGAGTCTCCATCAGGAGGGTTCTGTGCAGGTGAAACGTCACGCTCCTGTGTAGCATATGAAAAAACGTAACTCCACATAAAACATTTATGCTGTAACTTAGCAATGACGACATGATAACTAGAAAAGGAACCAAGGCAGTCATTACTGCCGTAGCTGGGGCCTGCAGCTTCTGAGTTTCCTCACTGAACAGGAGCGCTGCCATGACCAGAGACTCTAAAGTACCCTATTCCGGAAGGCCACCATGGTCCCCAGTAGGTTGTCAGCACAGCCGACCTCAGTACCTTTCGCAGAAGGAAGGGTTACCACTTCTGAGAAAAGAAGAAGAGTCTCAAATACTTCAAGTCGGGCACGGTGGCTCACACCTTAGTCCAGCACTTGGGAGGCAGGAAGATCAGTTCAAGTTCAAGGCCAGCCTGGGCTATATAAGTCCAAGCCAGCCAGAGGTACCCAGTGAGACACTGTCTCAACAGGGGAGGAAGGATGAGGTGGCAGCTGCCATATTCAATCACTTACATTAAGAACGCAGAGGAAGCTATGCTTAGGCACCTTTTAAAACCTGACAAATCATGTGTAACTGATGTAAGATCCTTCAAGTGACAAGAGGTAGGTTCCTTTTGAGAAAGTTAAATGCAGTGTAGCTGGACAGCAGCGATGTGGACTGCTAACCCCCTTCTGCAGGTTTCACTTCCCTTCTCAGAACACTTCTGTGTGTAAATCCTTCCAACTAGACTTCCCCAGGCCTCCCGAGGATTTGCAGAGATGTCATGCAAAAAAAAAAAAAAAAAAAAAAAAAATTACTGCTAGCCTCCCTTGAGATAGAAAAGGGACAAAGTGGTGGGAAGCTGCCTCAGGACCCGGGGACAGATCTGCAGGGAGAGCGGAAGGAGCCATGGAGCCCAACTGTAGGCCCCGGGAACTGTGGAGTGTGAGGAGCGAAAGGACACAATTTTACAAACCCGGCAGAGATGGCTGAGGAGTGCCTTGGCCAGAGGTGCTTTGTCACAGGCGGGACTTTTCTGGATCAGAGTTCCCAAAATCCATCCCATGAGTACTCTGTATGTGACTGCAGAGGCAGGGACAGTGACAAAGCTAGACAAAGCCATACAGCACAGAAAGAAGCCAGGCTCTGAACCCTGCTCGGCCCCACATCAAATCTCCTTTCTATAAATGACAGACTTCAAACACCAAAACAAGCAGTTATTCAAGAAATTTTCCCTTTTCATATGCCTTCCTTCAAGATATGCTCTCACTTCAAGAGGAGCCTGAGCTGAGCAGGACTTCATAAACAAATCACAAGTGAGAGAGAAAAACCACATCCAGGGTAAAGTCCCACGCTGAGAACTCTGTTTCAGAGCACTTCCGCCCAACAGACAGCGCCGTATCGGTACTACATCTCCAACAAACCTTCAACAGTGAGCAGAGACAAAGCACATCTGTGGAACACAAGCTCCGAGGACCCTCCAGGACCGGCACAGCGGCACAGCGGCACCTCTCAGACAGCGCTCTGACCAGAGGTAAGCTTCACCAGTGACTTCGTGGTATTCATTATCAGAGGACGCTGTGTTTACGAACAAAATCTCCGTTTCTTCCGATGGCACTGGAGCAACAGGTTACTCTTCTTCCATGGTTGACGCTCGTTTTCAGTATTGTATGTTAATAGTGAGTGTGGAATTTCAGAATTTATATTTTTGAGATTATAATTACGTCATTACTTCCTTCCCTTTCTTCCCTCCAAACCTTTCCACATACACCTCCTTGCTCTTTCAAATTCATGGTCTCTTTCTCATTCTTTGTAGTTACACACACACACACACACACACACACACACACACACACACACACACACACACACATTCATCCTGCTCAGTCTGTTTGTATGCTTTCAGGGCCGGCCATTCAATGTTGGATAACTGGTGTGCCCTTCCCTGGGGAGGATAACCACTGGTGTGCCCTTCCCTGGGGAGGATAACCACTGGTGTGCCCTTCCCTGGGGAGGATAACCACTGGTGTGCCCTTCCCTGGGGAGGCCTCTCTCTGACTTTCAGCATAGGAGTTCCAGCAGCTCTCTGTGTAGGCCGAGGCCTCACTGTCTTTCCCCCTCCATTTAGCATCATGTTGATGACATGATACATCACAACATATCTCAATATCTCTGTCATGTGGCTTCAATTATGTCCCGTCACAAATTTAGTTGGTTTAAGAAAAAACTACAGATAATCATGGAATTAAGTTTTTCAAAAGTTAACCTGAAAGCCAGCCAGTTTTTAACACTCACCCTGAACCCTGCAGAACACAGCCTGTAATGGTGATAGCGAGACACAGGCATCGCACTGCAGCAGATGAACAGTAAGACTGGCGATAAGCAGACTACAGAAAAGCAGCCCAGGAGGGAGGGTGAACAGACAGGACGGTCAAGATGGGTTATAAATACGGGTTTCCACAGCACTATCACGGAGGAGGAGGGAAGACCATGACATTTCATTTACTTTGCAATGCTACTGTAAAATCCACGGAGTTAAAATGTTTAAACCTCTAAGTCAGTCTCCTTTGCTTAATGGTATTTAACTTTTCTATGCAGTAATTTTCTCATTGGGTAGAAACTCATATTCTAGTTATATAAATGTTTGGAGGCGCTTTCTAGACAGGGCCTCCTAGCTGGCCTGAACTCCACCTCCTCTGCCTCCTGGGTGCAGGGATCAAAAGCTTCTGCCATTCTCGGCTTCATTGGAATTTCCACACAGGTTTTAGTTATACAGGATTTTATTCCAAAATCACATCTAATCAAACACGTGATAGACAGCAAAGGGAGGGAGGGACACACGGACCACGTGCTTGTCCACAGCACTGCTCAGTCTCACCACCTGACCACGGGCTGCTAATCCCCCCTATAGTTTTCACTAAAGAGATATTCAGGGCTGCATTAGACATAAGCACCCTACAAAGTGGCATTTTAAAGAAACTTCTCACATGCCCCCAGGTTCCATCTCTGCATATGAATATTTCTAAAGTCTGCTGGCATAGCAGCCCGGGTGCGGGAATTTCACACTAATTTGTAAACGCTATCAAACTTGACCCAGGTTAGGACTTCGCAGGCCTCCCTCCCTTTGACAGAACTTATGTTCATCCAGGCAGGGCAGGAGTATGGAAGGATCTCGACTAGAAAAACACCCTCAAAACACGGCTTTCTATGTCCCACTGATGCAGCAGCACTCAAATTACAGGACCCTGGTAAACAAAAAACGGCAGCCCCTGCCTCAGGTGCTCCCAACTGCACACCCGCTGCTCTAGGATGCCAGTAGACCACGACACAGAACAGTAGTGAGTCTAGACCTACAACACTCTGAAGAGAGTGCAGGATGACACTGGGAAGAAATGTTCGCAACCTCAAAAGAGAGGGTGTGGGGTCACAGGGAACTACACAGGACCTCACTGACAAGGCAGACACCGGGCACGTCCGACCGTGCGCTAGAGAGGCAGCAGAGGAAGCAGCAGAGCGACCCAAGCTCCTACCTGCTCACACGAGCTACGTATCCAGCTGTTCTGGGTCTCCTGACACATGCTTGGTAAATTATGGTTGTACTTAGTGACTGAAAAGTATCTGAACACTGCTTCTGAGTTATAAAATAAATAGAATAAAAATGATAGAAATGGGCAAGCCATTTTACAAGATTTAAAACCCAGATTGGCCCTTCTCCCATTACTCCAGAGAATTCTTACTGTCTCCTAACTTGATTATTTGGGAACAAGAGAGATGAGCAAGGTCAATGAAACTGGTTGAATCTCCCAGAGCATTATGGTACCTGAGGCCATTTGAACTGAGCAGTACATTATAAAGACTGGGTCTGGGCATGGTCATGCACACCTTTAGTCACAGCACTTGGGAGGCAGAGGCAGGCAGGACGCTGTGAGTTGGAGGCCAGCTTGGTTTAAATAGGGAGCTCCAGGACAGTCAGGGTTATACAGAGAAACGCTGTCTCAAAAAGGCAAGAAAGAAAAAGAGAGAAAGAGAGAGAGACAGACAAGGATTCTTAGCTCAATGGGGTACATAGCATATGTGAGGACCTGTGTTCAATGCCCAGTGCTACAAAAATAAAAACAAAAAGTAAATAATAGCAATAACTTCTAGGGTATGTGTTCTTGAAAAACACTAAGGCATGTACACGGAGTCTTCGATATGAAATGCCCTCAAAATGAAAACTTAAAGAAGCCAGAGATTGTCCAGCATCTGTTTCCAACCAAAGTTCTTACCCTCCTTTTCTTACTAGTCCTTACAGTTCCCGCACATCATGGGCACAGGCCTGCTGTAAGATGACGACCCCCAGCAACCGCCATCAGCTGGTCCTTTCCAACGGCTCGCACCCAGATGAATACAAAATCGCAGCCCTGGTCTTCTACAGCTGCATCTTCCTGATTGGATTATTTGTTAATGTCACTGCATTATGGGTTTTCAGCTGCACGACCAAGAAAAGAACCACAGTAACCATCTACATGATGAATGTCGCACTACTGGACTTAATATTCATACTAAGTCTACCCTTTCGGATGTTTTACTACGCAAAGGGTGAATGGCCATTTGGAGAGTACTTCTGCCACATTCTTGGGGCTCTGGTGGTGTTTTACCCAAGCCTGGCTCTGTGGCTTCTTGCTTTCATTAGTGCTGACAGATACATGGCCATCGTGCAGCCAAAGTACGCCAAGGAGCTGAGGAACACTTGCAAGGCCGTGCTTGCGTGTGTGGGGGTCTGGATAATGACCCTGACAACCACTGTCCCTCTGCTGCTGCTCTATGAAGACCCCGACAAAGCCTCCTCCCCTGCCACCTGCCTCAAGATTTCTGACATTGTCCACTTAAAAGCTGTCAATGTGCTCAACTTCACTCGGCTCCTGCTTTTCTTCCTGACCCCGTTGTTCATCATGATCGGGTGCTATGTGGTCATTATTCACAGCCTCCTCCATGGGCAGACGTCTAAGCTGAAGCCTAAGGTGAAGGAGAAGTCCATCCGGATCATCATCACACTGCTGGTGCAGGTGCTCATCTGCTTCATGCCGTTTCACATCTGTTTCGCCTTCCTGATGCTGCAGGGGGAGGAGACCAGCTACAGCCCCTGGGGAGCCTTCACCACCTTCCTCATGAACCTCAGCACATGTCTCGATGTTGTCCTCTACTACATTGTGTCCAAACAATTCCAGGCTCGAGTCATTAGTGTCATGCTGTACCGCAATTACCTCCGAAGTGTGCGCAGAAAAAGTTTCCGATCCGGCAGTTTACGGTCACTTAGCAACATGAACAGTGAAATGCTATGAGTCAGAGCAGGCAGCCTGTCTTTACTCTCTTTAAAACTCTTTTTCTATCTACTCTTGAGTGAACCAGCATTCTATATTATCCAGTCCCAAAGAAATAATAAAAATAAACTTTAAAACTTCTGTGGCACTTTATTATTCCAGCAACATGACTAAATACTGAGTATTCTGATACGCTCATTTATCTTTAATCTTACAACTTGTATAAAACATGTGCAGGATCCACCTGTGCAACCATGCTTGGGATCCCAGCACTCAGACACAGAGGAAGGCCATCCCAGGCTACATAGTGAGAGTCTGCCTCAAAAAACAATCATAAAAATACAAATAACATGTTCATGAATCACTTGGGGAGGGTCACCCAAATTAGGTTTCATAGTCAAGCCTTATCTGAGCAGGTTAACTGGCTTAACATTTTTTGATTAAATTCTGTAACACAAGTGACTCATGAAAGGGGTAAAAATAAGCTATTGTTCAAAATCATTTGACAGATCTCCCTTATATAGGTCCACACTTGGTCTGAATTCAGTATTCTATGTTCTAAACATCAGCTCTCCAGGTTTCTACACAGGCAACTCTGCTCAACTCACCACAAAGCGTAACTGATGGCAATGGGGAGCTCCAGCCGCCTCCCTATCCTTTTCTTCAGCAGGCAGCTGCTGCTCCCCAAACCCCACTTGCGGCAAGTGTTGGGAAGGTAACTGAGATCCCATTTCTGCCCCAATGAACTGACACATTCCTATGACACAAGATGTTAAGTGGTTAAATAACTTGTTACAATTCCAACAGCTTGCTCTTCTCACACAGTTAAAAAATGCATTATAAATTTTTTCCAAGCTGTGTTAGTTGGGGAATATTAGTTCTGACCCTAGTCTGCCCATTTGATTTCTCCATAAAGAAACGTCTTGTCTAAAAGTAAAGGAACCGAAGAACTATAGACTATAAAATGACTCAACTTACTACTTCCTCTACAAAATCACCTTTATTATTATTCTTTTGTTTTGGGATAAGATGTCACTCTGGATGTCCTGGAACTCAAAGATCCACCTGCTTCTGCCTCCCTTCAGGTCTAGTACCAATTTTTCAACAATAAGCAAAAATGTTTACAAACATGTACCTTCATAACCATAGGATCCAGGAGCAAAGGTGGAGTTCTGATGCAGCTCTCAACAGAGGAAAAAGTCAAGATTTCAGGTTCAAGAGCCAGGTGAGTAAGATCCTTTAACAAATGTGTGTGTGTGTGTGTGTGTGTGTGTGTGTGTGTGTGTGTGTGTGTGTGTGAGAGGGGGGGGGGTGGGGGAGGAAGGGAGGGAGAGACGGCACCCCTGTAGTTAATCCGTAGTTTAGGATACACATGTGGGGTGTATGGAGTCATGGGGTGGTGGAGCACTAGCCTAGTGCGAGTGAGGAGGCCCCTCATCTGACTCTCAGCCTAGAGGGAAGGGAAAGTCACCTAGGCACAGCTTATTTTCAACTATTCAGACAAATCCACTCTTGGGCAAGTTCTCTGCAAGCTCTTTCCAAAAGGTTTCCTTGAAGAATGTGGTGTAGAAAAGCATAATGCAAGTGCAGACATAAGCAATGAGATGAAATGTGTCCTGTGGTCCTCGGGGAAATTAAATACAATGAAAAACAATTCATGGAAGCATAATTTATTTAGCACTATAATCAGGCGCTCTTTAAAATATATTATATTTAGTTATTGTGCATGTATACATGTGGGCACGTGTGTGCCACACCATGTGTGTAGAAATAACCGTACGGGCCAGTTACTTTCCTCCACCATGTGGGTGCCAGGGATCACACTCAGGCATCAGAGTTGGTAGCAAGTGCCTTTACCCACTGATCAATCTCACCAGCACCAAACACACACTAACATATGGAAAAATTCACATTCAATTATTCTGGAGAGGTTTGATTCTGGAAAACAAACACTCATATACAAATACCAACAACTAATAAACAATAGGTTTATTAGCGCAAACGTGTCAAGCACAAGTTACTAGAACAGCTAACATATTTAGCTTTTAATAATGGAGCTACTTTGAAAACAATGGTTGGTTTTTCTGAGTTAAGTAAGTTGTGAACATCCATTAGGTGTCAGCTGCAGTTTCTGCACAGAGCACTGCACAGAGCACAGACCAGCCTCTGCAGCCATCAACAGCCTTGCCTTAGAGTCTGACTGGAGCGCACGTCAGCAATCACCCTTTCAGTGTCCTTGAGTGTGGTACCAAGTACATGAAGGACCTAGGCTCCTTCTCAAAGACCTAGTCAATAGCACAGAAGGTCAATGAAGACAATTCTGTGACATGAAAATAAGTAAATGCAACAAATATTCACTGAATTAGTAAAACATTTGCTATAACACACACAAAAGGACAAGCAATTCTGCCTAATGGCAAGAGGTAGCCAAGAGCTGGCTGGGGAGGCTGCCACCAGCACCAGATCACAGAGCTCAAGGGAAGAGCGAAACCAAGCACAGGGCTTGCTACACAAGCTGCTGGTCAACCAGCCCCCTTCGCGGCCTGTGCGGTAGAGCGCCTCCAACTGACGAGTGACGAGTGACAAGTGACGAGTGATGATGATGGTCAGATAGAACCCGCGCTCGGAAGCAGCCGAGTCCAGGCATTCTCAATGTCACAGAACTACGAAGCAGCACAGCTGGAACCCAAGGCTGCGATGGCAACGCCCATGCTGCCTGCTCCCCCCACCACTCCAGACAGTGCCTGTGGAGTCTGACCCTCACTCCAAAGAAAATGGAGATTTCGAGGTTTTGGTGTTTTGTTCTTTTTTAAATTCCAGCACAGCTGTGACAGTTGTTTCCATTCTTTAACACTGAGTTTTTATAGCGTGCATGTGTGTGACAGTGTGTGTGAGGATGTGTGTGACTGTGTATGTGAATGTGTGAATGTGTATGTGAGTGTGAATATGTGTGAGTGTGTCAGTACATAAGGATATGTCAGTGTGTGTGAATGTAAGTATGTATGCAAGTGTGTGTGTGTGTGTGTGTGTGTGTGTGTGTGTACATGCAGAGGCTACAGCACACATGTGGAGGTGATAGGACACGCACTTCTCTCCTTCCACCTTTGTGTGAGTTCCAGGGATCTAGTGTTATATTATCCAGTCTCGTTCTTACACCAACTCACCACACACATGCCTCCAAAACTCAGTAGCCTTGGTTCAGAACCCACAGGAGGCCTGGGCAATGCTGCTGAGTTCACAGGAATCCTTCTGCAGCGCCGCACCCTGCTCACCGGAGCAGCAGCCCACACTCACATCTACCACACCGACACACGGTCAACCCAACAAGGCTGTACAGCAGTGAGGACACAGGGTCCTGTATCCCCACCCGGGGAAGACTCAGAACCACCGTCACGGAAACCGCTGAAGGGCACCGTGCATGCCGACTCTAACTTAACAGCAGTTATATATCTTATCTAAAACAGAGATCCAGCCTGCTTTAGAATCAAGGGACCTAATATACCTGACAGTTCTCAAACCCATACTGTAAAATTAGAACAAGGCTAAAGTTAGTGCACACAGAATTTTAAATATCCAGTTTCTCTAATTTTACACCATCGTGCCTCTCAAACACAGGCTCCTATATTTAATTCTGATATGCTTTAGGCCTTTTGCATGTGCTGAAAACTCTGTTCTTGGCTCCCAGTTACTCCACACGCTAGCAGTTTTACTTGAAAGCACGGCTGAGCTGGTCTGTCACTGTAGGAAGCACACAGCTATTATTACCGATGCACTAACTTCGCTCTACCCTTGGTGGAAGTATAGAAATAACCCAAAATTTCTTCAGAAACTCAACTTCATTTATTTTATTATCCAGGTGAATTAAATCTGAATTTTTATGTTTAATTATTTCATAAAATTACAACAGCAAAATATCATTATAAAAATACATAAAACATTCAATTTGAGGAATTCAGGGTGGCTGTAGGTTTATCATCCCAGCACCTAGAAAGCCTGAAGCAGAAGATTCTTTAAACAGAGGCCATTCTGGGCTACATATAAGACACTGTCTCAAACAAAGATTACGAAATAATTTCAAAGCTGAAAGAAAAAAGAAAATACTACGAAACTGATTATTTTAAGAGTATAAGGAATATGTAAGTATACACTGGATTTTCTTGACACACATATATACTATATCTGAAAATATAAAATGTCTTTTTTTAGACAGACTCTCACTCACTATGTAGCCCTGGCTAACCTGAAACTCACTATGTAGAGCAGGCTGGCCTTGAAATCACAGAGATCCACCTGCCTCTGCATCCCAAGTGCCTGGATGAAAGGTGTGGCCACCACAGCCGGCTTAAAAGACCTTTGGTGAAAGCTTGTGAATGACAGTATTTCAAACAGACTTAAGAATCCTAAATAGTCAACTCCAAACTATAAGCTACTTACAATCCAGAAGGCAGATTATTGGCCACAGTGACACCAACCAAATACTGAACGGCTTCCACAAGAATTAGGTCAAACAAGGCTGACAAGACCCAGGAGCCCAGCAAGAAGGACTGAAGAATAAAACAAAAAACAGAAAATGTGTCACCTAAAAATAAACAACAGCTATTTAGTTAGCATGAATTCAAGGGTGTGTGGGAGTTAGGGGGCTAAGGGGACGTGTACACACACACACACATTGTATCTATATATATTACATATATATAGCATATGTATACATATTATATTATTTAGTTTTGTTACTTTCCAAAATTGGGAAATAAACCGTAATTGTTTACATATATGAATTAGTTTCTAGAATTTCTAGACATGCTGAAAAGTGACATTTAATTAAAACATACTGCTAATAAGCAGCACATATACTATTAAGCCAAATATGTGACCAGAATTTTATTAACTAAAGTTTTATTAAAATTTTCATTTACTGGCGCACACACAATGTTGTGTATTACCATCACCATCATTTCATTATTTTTTCATGCTATTGGCTTAAATTTAAATTTTTTCTTTCGTTAATGTTGAAGCCACAAATCAGATTTAGAATCATGTTTTTTAAGAGATAATTATAAATAATGCACTGAATTTTAAAAAATGGAAGACATTTTAAAATAAGGGGCCAGAACAGTGTTGCATACCTGTAATCCCAGCTA